ACGTTGAGGCCACACGTTTCCCTTATTGAATCAAAGGGTATGGATCAAAGGGTATTTGACTTACATAATTCATTTACGTATGTTTGGGTTTAGCTTGTTTGGATTGTATGGTCCAGACTCGATTATTTACAGACCGTCGTCATATGGCCGGAATATTGCTGAGTGCGACGTTAAGAACAAACAAACAACAGCGTGCCAATCGTTGATAGCCTTTATCGTTAGGAATAAACTTCGTGTTAATATGAGCGTTGGCCATGGTGCAATAGTTGTCGACTAAAAATTGCAACATATTTTCGCTATCTAACTGATTACTTGATTACTCTAATCATTACTTCATTGAAATTAATAATAGTGTGAGTAATGAGTGAGTGAGTGAGTGAGTTGGGTTTAACGCCGCTTTTAACAGTATTCCAGTTGTATCACGGCGTGTCAGCTTAATGTGGGAGGAAAGCCCGATGTGATGCAGGTCTCAGTCGTTTACCACTTCGGTGAATGGGTATGGTGCTGCGAACACAGAAACATAATCGGGGCGAACCGGGATTCGAACCCACAATCATAGATTTCTGGCGTGCCAAAGGGACGCAACTCATCACAGCGAATCGCGGCGCCTTAGACGACTGGGCCACCCGTGATACTGAAGTACCGTTCACCATACACAATTAGAACAGTGCAGTATCAGCGAACGTTCACTCACTCTCTACGGGACCCTCTATACACAAAGACTATAGCGCCATGTTTATCCAGGCAGCACTGATAATTTCGGTTAATCCGCGCCGGCCAGGTGATGTAAACTTTCACAAATACATGCAAGGGCAAGCCAATTGTCCACTCGAAAAAAGCACCGGGCATCAGTTTTGTCACTGATGCGTCAACTAATATCATACAGGAAATAAATAACGCTGACAAGCGCCGAGCGTAAAGTGACGTCACGTAACATTAAGACATCAGCTGATCGCGTTACGCAAACTGATGAACTTGACTGACATTCGACACAATGGGGTCACCTTGTAAGTGACTATCATAGCATCTTTATTAGTGTCTACATCACAAACATCGTTATTAACAAGATGCTATCCCCCTCGGGTCTCTTGACGCCTACGCCGAGTCCATCTGATACATCAGCTTGACGTCATCCATCACGCTTGACTTGACCCCGGGGGTGCAAGTTATTTGTGGAATATGACTACACGTATATCATATAGTTGTAAATATTGCGGAGACTATTTGGATGGGTGACCGTTAGACTCACATCTAGTCTCTGAAATGAACATATACAGAAAAAACAGTCGTTAAATTATGGTTATGAAATTTAATAAAAAGGAGCCAAGAGACTTTCTTCATTTTCAGATACTGCAGTAATCTAGACTTGCCAAACATGACTTGTATGGGTTGTATTGGATATATTTGTTTCAGGGTCTGTATGACGGACTAGGTGACGGTGTTCGGTAGCTTGAGTCCTGTGTGTGTCTAGGACTTCGGTCCTGTCCCACACTGAGTGTACGTGAGTTGGGTTTAACGCGGCTTTTAACAGTATTTCAGTTATATCACGGCGTGTCAGCTTAATGTGGGAGGAAAGCCCGAAGTGATGTAGGTCTTAGACGTTTACCACTTCGGTGAAACCCACGAGCACGGGTATGGTGCTGACAAACCTAGAAACATAATTGGGGCGAACCGGGATTCGAACCCACAATCAAAGGTTTCTGGCGTGTCCAATTTGCAAGGGACGCAACTCTGCACAGCGAATCGCGGCGCCTTAGACGACTGGGCCACCCGTGCCCCCTTGTCCCACACTGAAGCACATGAGAGGTCTCCTGATGCAAGTGCCTTTGTCCGAAATATGCCTTTTTTTTACCAAGCAGTGAATGGGTACCCGGTAGGAGAAGATGGAAATGTGATTGTACATTCTAACGCCTAAACGGAAGCAACGGTTGTCTACTCCCCAGGGAGCTGAGAATGAACACATTGAGTGCACACTGATCTTTGTACGGGGTAATAATAATGTAGTGCCATGAGTATTCACTCGGCGATTGGAATTTGGCGCATTTAAAAAGGCAATGTAAACAACCCCTGGTGTATGTGGGGATTCCGGGGGGAAATAGGTCGTGATTGTCACAGTAGCTGACTAAAATCGTACTAGGACAGGGTTAGAATAGAGCCAAGGTCTATTTTGCTTGTAAGCCGGGACTACATTTGATCGTATGTTCAGAATATCAACCACTGTTTTGTCTGTCTAGACTTGATTATACCCCGGCTGCCGTGGTAACTGGAATATTGCTGCCTGCGAGGATATCATCATGCACCAACTGGTTAGTCAGGAATATAGATGTACTGTATACAATATATACACCGTTGTTCGTTATGGGGTGTCTCAAGAGCCAGCCAGTCAGGATGGAGTGGTCAGGCTCGGTGACTTGGCTGACTTCCTGCCATCGTGGGTCGGTGCTCATGGTTTCGACCACTGGTTTGCCTGGTCCAAGATGGAATATTGTTGACTGAGGCGTCAAACAACACTCACTCACTCACCCAAACAACAGGTGACCCTTACGTTGCACGAGTACTGATGATGAAGTCATACGTTTGACATGTACCAACAAATGTTTAATTTACGTCGTTTGATGGAATCCGCCCTTTCATTCTTTTTCAACACATTGTTCTCACCATCCGTTAAATTGTTTGACATATTTACGAGTTGTCTTCCGTCGTAATGCTGCTTTAAACCTTTTCTAAATGCGAAGTAAAACCACATTCACTCCAAAGATACAAGCACCACGTGATCCTCCCAAGAGCGAAGTGATGGCATGTTGCTAGAATTACTCTCTCACTCACTCACTCACTCACTCGGCCTCTCTGCAGTAGTGGGTTAGCGGTGTTCGATCGTCGCGCCCAATACCCTGCTTGGATTCCTAACGTTGATAATACTGATACGCAATCCCACCCACTAATAAGCAACCTCACCCACTAATACGCAACCTCACCCACTAATACGCATCCTCACCCATTAATAAGCAGCCTTACCCACTAATACGCAACCTCATCCAGTAATACGCAATCCCATCCACTAATACGCAACCTCACCCACTAATACGCACCTTATCTTGTAATAGGCAATCTTACCCACTAACACGCAACCTCACCCACTAATAAGCAACCCCATCCACTAAAACGCAAACTCACCCACTAATACGCTGCCTTATCGTCTAATACGTAGCCTCATCCACTAATACGCAACCCCATCCACTAATACGCAACCTCACCCACTAATACGCAACCTCAGCTTCTAATACGCAACCTCACCCACTAATACGCAACCTCACCCACTAATATGCAACCCCATCCACTAATACGCATCTCCATCGACTAATGCACAGCCTTGTCTTCTAATACGCAACCTCACCCACTAAAACGCAACCCCATCCACTATAATACGCAACCTCACCCACTAATAAGCAACCCCATCAACTAATACCCAACCTCGCCCACTAATACGCAACCCAACCCACTAATACGCAACCTCGCCCACTAATACCCAGCCTTGTCTTCCAATACGCAACCCCACCCACTAATACGCAACCCCATCCTCTAATATGCAACCCCATCCACTAATACGCAACCTCACCCACTAATACGCAACCTCGCCCACCAATACCCAGCCTCGCCCACTAATACGCAACCCAATCCTCTGATACGCAACGCAACCCCATTTTCTAATACGCAACCTCATTCAGTAATACTCAACATCATTCAGTAATACACAACCTCTTAACACACCTGTGCAACCTAACAAACGCAGGTGACAGTTAGAATTCAACGTTTTATTATGTTACACCCATCACAGCACACCAGCTGCTTACACAATAGCCAGGCCACGGGTGCTCAGTTTACTGTGTGACACACATGGCCTTCAGTCTCCGAATACTCAACAGGTAAACCAAACTCACCATCTGTGTATAAGCTAAGTCATTATTAACACTGTACACATTCCAACCACAAATAGTCGTTACAAATAGGTCACATAAGAAGCTACATGTCGAACATTGTTACACTCCTCTAAAGGATGAATGAAACTGACACTAAAAATCACAAAATGTTTGGCACTTGTGTACCCAAACGAAAAGACCGCAAGGTATGCATGCATGCATGTTTAAACACACCTCAAGCACGGTCACCTGGACTGACATGTAGTCCCAGAAATAAAGTTATCCTACTTAAAAATATATGTCTACAAAATAAAAAATAAAAAAATCCAAATGGGGCCCAGAACAATCCTTAATTTCCTGGAGCTGAGGCAATGTAGACTTGTCAGATCATTCTAGACTTGAGATGGACGAGGGTCTGGGAGAGGCCAACAGTGAACATGTATACATGTACAAACACACCTCAAGCACAGTGGGGGACGAGTGGCCCAGTCGTCTAAGGCGCCGCGATTCGCTGTGCAGAGTTGCGTCCCTTGGACACGCCAGAAACCTATGATTGTGGGTTCGAATCCCGGTTCGCCCCAATTATGTTTCTAGGTTTGTCAGCACCATACCCGTGCTCGTGGGTTTCACCGAAGTGGTAAACGTTTAAGACCTGCATCACTTCGGGCTTCCTTCCACATTAAGCTGACACGCCTTGATATAACTGGAATACTGTTAAGCGGCGTTAAACCAAACTCACTCACTCAAGCACAGTGACCATGATGGAACTATTCTATTTTATAATAAATCGATGATTGACAGGACATACAGGTACCGACACAAGGATACCTGTAGAAATGACTTTCAATAAAGGAATTAAGTGAATCTGCATGTACCCTATTTCCTTCTCTTGATATATGGTATAAGAAGGATGTTCCATCCCTGCAATCCTGCTACCAACCTTTTGGTCTTATAAAAGCTTATCTTACCATTGCCGGACCAACATGACTCATCCACGAAGGTGAACAAGAACACTTGTCAAACGCATATACGTGCACACCAACATTGTATGAATTAATGAGAATATCATAGGCAGCTACTTACCACCACGACGAAACAGGTAGGTGACACAATGTGTTATCCCGGAGAAGATCGACACAAAGTTGTGATAGCTCCGACACAATTTCCCTGCCTGGACTACGACAAAAGTGGCGAGTTGGTCTCTAACCTCTCCGTCACTCGTATCTCCGCCCGACCTCTGATGTGGCCAATATGTATATGAGGTGTCCTATCTGATATTCTATCTACCTACATTACACTTGTCATACACGCATACATCAAGCAGTCTTAACGGATGTTAACTGCTTCAGGCACTTTGCCCCTAGGTGTGCTTGACTTACAACCTACTACACATGAGTTACCTCCCTTTATTACACTGGTTTTAGGTCGTCGATACGTAACATTGTGGTATTGTTGTCTTATACACGCGATATTTATTCGGTTTTTAAAATATGTCCTGTAACAATTCGTAGAATTTGCAAAACAGGTTTAAGTTTGCTGCATAATGTATTATATTTAGACTGTCTTTATAAAGGTACTTAAAGACAAGGGTGCAGGGAGCTTTGCCCTGAACTAGTTTTTTTATTTTTTGTGTTATTATTCCATAATTTTGTTGTTGTTCATTACAAGATTTAGGTAAGTATTTGGCAATATCACTGCACGTTGTTTGTCAGCTGTTGAACATATTTACATGTTTATATCGCAAGTCTGTTTGTTTCCTTAACAAGATGGTCTCAACTGCAGCCATGTAAATTTTTGTTCATAATGTGCAAATGGAACCTCTCTTCACAAAGGCTGTGAGGTTAAAGGTTTCTACGATAACATGTGTACGGTTTGGCTTGACAGGTAAACCATGGGGTTGTTTGATTACTAGACTACAGGATTGCGGTAGAAGTGTTTCTAAATCACGTCGGCGGTAACTAGGGCTGCTGTATTAAGAGGTTTATGTCATTACTGAGGTTTTCTGTTTGAAGTGATTGGTACATGTTTGATTGTGTTTGATCAAAGACATTTATACAATGGATGACATATCAAATGATGCCACATATAAGGCCATTTTAAGGCCAGTATGTTAATTTGCCCAAACCAGGCATCAGTTCTATCAATTTTAGTAAAAAATGAAAGCAAACTTCATCTGAAGTTTATTGAGAAAACAATATGCGAAATGCTGGACTCAAAATTTCTGCTCGGATTGGAAAGTCAAAACAAGGTACTTTGGCCAAGAAGTTTACTTAAGTTTCAGGTATATCGATGATCTGATATCGTTCAATAGCCATCAAATAGCAAATTCCCTTCCATTGATTAACCCACCTGAGCAGGACATATAAGAAACCAATAAAACCTACTCATCCCTTTTATACTCAGATCTAAGTATATAAGATTTAGTAAGACACAAAAACTCTCCACAAGACAAGAGGGATTATTTCAACTTTCCAATAGTCGACTTTCCCTTTATGTGTTGCAATCTACATTTCACAACTTTTGAGGTACAATCGCGCCTGATCTTTCTATATGAAGAGTTCAAAGAGCGTCATACGACTCTTGCTCAAAAGTTGTTTGATCAGGGTTACAACATTCAAGTCTTAGTAAGAAATTCAAAAGGTTTCCAAATTTGACGCTTCAGGGACAAAAATTGTGTTCCCTATTTCTTATTTTGACTTGTACCATAACTCCCTACTTTGACTTATACCATATATTCCCGTGTTTTTTAAAGTGAACATTTGACTTGCCTTTGCATGTATTTGTGACGGGTGCCACCGGTGAGGCAGGATACACTCACCGTTTCGCGAACACCCGGTGTCATCACCATTTGATAGTGATTCATAAACAAATGCTCATGATTTGGTCGGGATCGTACAATAATAATATAATAAATAAATAATAAGTCCATTTATTCTGCGCCAGATTCCATTCACCAAGTTAATGCTCATGGCGCTACAACAGTTTTAGCAAATAATGCTAATGAAAGGGGAGCAGAGTTGATAGTGTTGTCTGTAAAGCCTTAAAGAATTAAAGCGATGGCGACAGCTTAAGATCAGATGGTAGTTTGTTCAATAGCGAGGAAGCGCAGAACTGGAAAGATCGCTGACCAAGGGTTTTTCTGAGAACGGAGAGATCTGGAAGGCTTGTATTTAGGCAGTAGTTCGGTGAGATATAATGGGGCTGTTTCCATGTAGCATTTGTAGGCCAGGGTTAGAATTTTGAAATCAATTCTGGCTTTAAGTGGTAACCAGTGCAGCGACATCAGAGCAGGTGTTACTGGAGTCCATTTTGATGCCTTCGTGACGATACGTGCTGCTGTATTTTGTTCACGCATGAGCCTGTGGAGTTGATCATTTGTGATGTTACTCATGAGACTGTTGCAATAGTCAAGCCGTGATATAATTTAAGTTGGTTGGTTGGTTGGTTTGTTGTTTAACGCCGCACTCTGCAATAATCCAGCTATATGACGGCGGTCTGTAAATAATCGAGTCTGGACCAGACAATCCAGTGATTACTATCATGAGCATCGATCCACGCAATTGGGATCGATGACATGCTTCAACCAAGTCAGCGAACCTGACCACCCGATCCCGTTAGTCGCCTTGTACGACAAGCATAGTCGCCTTTTACGACAAGCATGGGTTGCTGAAGACCTATTCTACCCCGGATCTTCACGGGTCATATAATTTAAGATCTAGCCCTTTAACCCAATGGACACTGCTTTTAGTGGACATTTCTTGTGGCAGTTGAAATATTTGTTTTTTGTCGCGTTTATTCAAAGTTCACTTGGGTGGTTCGGGTCAAGGACTGACCAGACAACTTCGGACATTGGGTTGAGAGGTTAACATGATAAAGGTTGTCTGGTTGAAATGTTTCTGAATTCACTTGGGCGGTCCGGGTCAAGGGTTACCTGGGTAACGCAGGATGTTTGGTTCAACGATTTACTCAATGTACCAAGTTTGGGGGATTTTAGTTTTTAAGTTAACTTGGGCAGACGGTGTGAAGATTACCTGTGAAGAATTCATAGGCGGTAGGGTTGACATCCTTAGTAACCAGGAGGATTTCCTTGGTAATCATGGCTGTTGGATTGAAGGGTTACCTTGGTAACCATGGCTGTGGGGTTGTAGGGTTACCTTGGTAAATATAACTGTTGGGTTAAAGGGTTTCCTTGGTAACCATAGCTGTTGGGTTAAAGGGTTTCCTTGCTAACTATTGCTGTTGGGTTGAAGGGTCACCTTAGTAACCATAGCTGTTGGGTTAAAGGGTTTCCTTGGTAAGCATTGCTGTTGGGTTGAAGGGTTACCTTGGTAAGCATTGCTGTTGGGTTGAAGGGTTTCCTTGGTAACCATGGCTGTTGGGTTGAAGGGTTTCCTTGGTAACCATGGCTGTTGGGTTCAAGGGTTAACAATTACATAACCGAGGGCAGTACGTTTCCGGAGAAGCAGGATAGAGTGGGGTACATATTGCAGTCATTATTACTTGGTATACATGCAGTACCTACGTTGTGCCCATGGACGATTTGTGGTTTCAGCGTAATGGTATCATTCGATACTCCACAAACGGCCAGGATAAAACCATTGTGTAGGAGAAGTAAACACAGGGAACTATAACATGGTCACTGAATTGTCATTATTTTCTTTGCGCGCGATGCGCACAATCAAGATGACGTGTGCAGAAAGTATTTAGGCCACTGTTACAGCCTATTAATATGACTCAAGAACTCACTTAAGCCCCGTTATACTTCACTGCCCTGACATGGTTATTATAACATGAGTGAGATCATAATTTGGGCCATTTGGAAAACCAGTGACACGACACTAAGGCTGGTTATATAATTCCTTTACCACAATGATGCGAGCCTCTCCGGTTCAGTTTGTGTGACGTCACACAACAAGTGGGGTGTATATAAAAACGTTATCAAACAGTACATACAGGAAAGTCTAAATGTAACTGTATTAGGAATAAACACTATGTATTTAGCTCGCCAAGGCTCGCTAAATACAATGTTTATTCCTAATGCAGGATATTTACCATCCTCAAACACACTCGCGTGATAACCTCTATGTATGAAGGTGACTCAATGTATAAATATGACACTGTGTATGAAGATGACACAATGTATGAAGATGACACAATGTATGAGGATGACACTGTGTATGAAGATGACACAATGTATGAAGATGACACTATGTATGCAGACAACACTATACACGAAGACAACACTATACACGAAGACAACACTATGTATGAAGACAACACTATGTATGAAGACAACACTATGTATGAAGACAACACTATGTATGAAGACAACACTATACACGAAGACAACACTATGTATGAAGACAACACTATGTATGAAGACAACACTATGTATGAAGACAACACTATGCATGAAGACAACACTATACACGAAGACAACACTATGCATGAAGACAACACTATACACGAAGACAACACTATGCATGAAGACAACACTATGTATGAAGACAACACTATGCATGAAGACAACACTATACACGAAGACAACACTATGCACGAAGACAACTCTATGTATGAAGACAACACTATGTATGAAGACAACACTATGCATGAAGACAACACTATACACGAAGACAACACTATGCATGAAGACAACACTATGTATGAAGACAACACTATGTATGAAGACAACACTATACACGAAGACAACACTATGTATGAAGACAACACTATGCATGAAGACAACACTATGTATGAAGACAACACTATGCATGAAGACAACACTATGTATGAAGACAACACTATGTATGAAGACAACACTATGCATGAAGATAACACTATGTATGAAGATAACACTATGTATGAAGATAACACTTTGTATGAAGACAACACTATGTATGAAGACAACACTATGTATGAAGACAACACTATACACGAAGACAACACTATGTATGAAGACAACACTATGTATGAAGATAACACTATTTATGAAGATAACACTATACACGAAGACAACACTATGTATGAAGACAACACTATGTATGAAGACAACACTATGTATGAAGACAACACTATGTATGAAGACAACACTATGTATGAAGATAACACTATGTATGAAGACAACACTTTGTATGAAGACAACACTATGTATGAAGACAACACTATGTATGAAGACAACACTATGTATGAAGACAACACTATGTATGAAGACAACACTATGTATGAAGATAACACTATGTATGAAGACAACACTTTGTATGAAGACAACACTATGTATGAAGACAACACTATGTATGAAGACAACACCTTGTATGAAGATAACACTATGTATGAAGACAACA